GTCGTAAAAACTTTACCTCTCTTAGGTCCCAAGAGCGCACGGTGTTGTCCAAGCCCCCGGTCCAAAGTTTTGTTCCATCGTTGGATATGTCGATGCAGCTCGCGCCATCTGTATGGCCTTGAAACTGTCTAGAAAGCAGAAGGAACTTTGTTCTTCATTTAGATAACACAAAACAATGCTACCTGACTAGAATCTGATTCTGAATATCCCAGACAGCAATGTTTCCATCCGCACAGCAAGAGAAGCATAGCTTGTTGTCTGGGCTAATAGCCAGCGCATAGCACGCCTGCGCATTATTGTTCAGCTCCGCCTTGATTTTTGGCAGACCCTGCAAGTGACATCGACCGGTTAGTGGCTGAACAGGTACTCATAACTAAGCGTTAAAATGTGCTTACGGTAAGATCCCATATAGTAATGATTTGCGCTTCGCCACCAACGATCAGTGTACATCCGTCTCTAAGCAACTTGCAGCTTCTGATATAGCTTTCCGTCTGCTAGAAAATGTGATCTGACTTCTCTGACTACTGTGCAAAATTGGCAAACTTTCTGTATTTGAAATTTACTGCCTACACCTGTTCGCAGATTTTTGATCGTAACTTATCAGCTTCGAACAGACAATAAAAGATAGCATTTTCCACGTAAATACAAACGTCATTCTTCGAAGATCACAACAGAAAGTTCAAAACTTACACTGCAAGGTGTCCGGGAGCCAGTTACGCGTTCTAATATACAAACGCATTGCATTTTTGGGAACATATCCCGAAACAGGAGCCAGCATAGAAAGCACGGCATGACGAGAAATGGCAGTGAAAAGGTAAAATACTTCCTTCACGGCAAGCTCATAAGAAGCTAATTAAGACTACCAGAAATTTTGAAATAAGAAAATAAGACAGGCGAAGATTAGAAAAGCCCAATAAAATGCAAGAGAGAATTGGCGCGCTACAGATTAACCGTCGTCACACTGAGAAACAAGGAGAGTGAAACAGTATCGGACAAAACTGGCACTGATGCAATCTGCAGAAACTTTATACTCTATTTATGATCTTTATTTCAAAACTAAGCGTCCTATCATCCATAATCCAACCGTCTGGATATCGAGTACTTCCTATCCTCACGAGCGAAGTTAGACATGCAGCCCATCACATGAAAGGAAGCTAAGTATAGACTGATGCACTGATAAATGAAATAGGGCACGAGGTCAGAATCTTTTGTTCAGCGGCCCAATTCATACCTGGAGATGGCACAGTGAATTCAAGAAAGAGTCAATGACGAATTTCATACAGAAGCACGGGAATACATACGGTTGGAAATATCTAAAGGATAATCGCCTGCTATGCTTGCCGTAGCAAATCTATAAGCTGTTCACAAATATAACCGCAAACTGACTATCAATCAGTCTAGATAAGCAGCAACCGAGACAGCAGGCCGGGTTTCAAAAGAATTTTAGTACAGTACATTTTTACTCTGACTGGAGAACCAAAACGCGTAAGAGAATATAGACTGCGCATATGCACTGACTTCGTCTACTACCAAAAAAATGATCGATAAGTCGTGCTCAGCACAGTAAGGAAAGCACTTCGCAGAGCAGAACATCGATACAAGGTCATCCAATGCTGAAGGAAGTGAATGAATTCTGGATAAAAGACGAACATCAAGCTGCTCGACACAGTGTTCCAGATCCAATTCCAGAAAGGCGTGAAATAATATGACAAGATTTCTCCAAAGCGTTTAACGGCCTCAATAGAAACGGCATTCAGGAGAATAGGCTGGGAAGAAAGAATAAATTTCAAAAGGAGGACAGTCATGAAATATTGGCTGTTGACGCTGTGTTAATGATGGAAGGTTGCACTCAACTGCAAAAAATGCTCTAAGAACTAGATAAAAAAGCGGTAAAGTCTGACTAAAAATCAGTCAATCGAAGACAAAGTACACGCCATCAGGTACGCTTAAGAAATCCCAAACAAATGCTAACGAAAAGGAAGTCAACATACGACGCGATCAGACGGCCGAAACTTTCTAGGAAAGCAGGGTTGCTCAACACTATCGTGAACTCCATACTTGGAGAGACCGACATTAACGGGTGCCGACATCTTCAACACAATCGTATTGCCAGCGACGCTGTACAACTGCGAAACATGATCGTTGACGAACGATGAGGAATACCACTTATCCCGTTATCGAATAAGACATGGAAAGAAGAATGATAGGTACTTCGTGTCATAACCACATTCCAAAGAGAGTTATCAGACAGCGAACTAGGGTGAATGACATGAACGAAAGCAAAGAAGAAACTGCGATTGGCTGCGTATGTAGCTCGGTTTACAGATCAGTGATGGACAGATGCTATCGCCGTGTGATATCCGCGAGATCACAGACAGCCGCTGTCCCCCAAACGGATGTGAAGATTTTATCTCTGGCTTAGGAAGAACGCTGTAGGCTGTAGAGGAAGGCTCGAACGAGAGAAAAATGAAGACGTGTTGTGAGCAACGGAATCTCGAACACTGCTAAATACTAGTCGATAAAAGAACCTCAAAATACAGCATAAAAGCGTTGCTTAAACACGTACTTTCATTATGCTGAGTCAATCTAAAAAAGGATTACATCGGCACTTTGTCACCACGACCTACTAAGTAGTACGAAAGGCACGTAGTTTTCATGCTCTTCCTCCCCAGTGGCATTCTATATCTATGTCAAAACAATGAAAGACGAAGCATTCCACGGAGCCTGCAACAGGCTGACCACTCACTGAACAGGACCGCAGATACTCTTCGTCACAGTCGCCTAGAATCATCTGATGCATCTTATCGAAGGCCCGATGAAAAGCAACCAAACACTAGCAAAACTTTGCAGCAGTTCATTTTTTAGAAAGCGAAAAGAAACTGTCTATAAGTCCAAGGTATGTTCTTTGTTTGCAAACCCTGACATTCGATCGCGTTACAGTTTATGGCGCATGAATGAAAACCGTTTAGAAAAACTTCAGCGACATGATTCTCTAAGGCGGCAGATGAAGCAGAAAGTAAAATGCACGTTCTGCAGTGTTTAGCACTAAGTTGCCCTGTTGGTGTTAAACCATATCTTGGTTTTTAAAATGACCGATTTGCACGTAAGAAAATTCAGCACAAGTCAACGACAACAAAAACAATAACACAACAAGTAAAATAAAAACTCACTAAACACTCCAGACTATGGGTTGGGGCCTTGACGCCAGGCTGTAAGATGTCCCAGATTTTGACGCAGCCTTTTCCTCCTGTGTAGACGTGCCTCGTCGGATTGCTGATTGCCACGGCACACACCACCTCGCCGTGTGGGAGAGTCGACAGCTGACGCGCATTTCGCGGAATGCCCGGACCGACAAGGGCGTCGGCCGGAAACGGCACCGGCTGCATTTGGCCATCGGCCGATACGTGATATGAATATGCGCTAAAAAGCGAAATACTGTCAGGAAGGCGCGAGAAACGGACGTTAAAATCTTGTTCCTTCACCAGTACTTTGAAAACCATTGCAATTAAAACTCAGAAACAGACTACTGTACATATTCCGTCAAAAAACTAAGGGAAACACCGAAAAGGGTGAAACATGCGCCAAATGTCACTGTCCTGATAGTCAATATCAGTGTAGCTTAAAACAGAGATGAACCGTGAGACAACGATGAGCAATGCGAACAGCACTACTTTTAAAACAACTTGTTACGTCCAAAAAATAGGATTTGCCAGATTTCGAAAGTACTCTCTAAGGTTAAACTAGCAAAGTGCAGAATGTGGCGTTACACAGAAAAGAAGAAAATGTCAACAATACGCTTAGTTCAACTCAACTTAACAACCGTCTACCCTCTGAAGGAATGAATGAAAATATAGGTTGAACAGTTGGGGAGTTCTTACTGAACTGGAATAAAAACGATCAACAATGAGAGGTGTACTCCAGGCTGTACATGCTAACATGTTTTGCATTGCTACTCGCAGAACATTTTACCTGTCGACTTTGACCTACTGAAAAACCTTGTATGAGGCTACTGAGCGACTTTCATGGCAAGAACCAATATAAAACCGGGCACAATTCACTCTTGCCTCAAACTGAATCCAGATCTGAAACTAGCCTACAGTAGACGAATTTTCAGTGATTTACAACACGTGAATTTTATTCTGCATTAAGTAAATGATGGTCCATGAGTGGTAGCTGCAAAAAAACTAAACATTATAACAAAAGTAGATTCATACGGTTTTCCACCCGGAAATCCTGTCATTCCACTTAAAGATGCCAAGCGAGCTTGAGTATGAGGATCGAAAGTGGTCATCTATAAACAGCGGATGAATACTTAGAAATACACCGATCCGAACAAGTTTAGGGGAAAACATACAAAAACGCTTATTTTAAAACAGAGACAGAACTAAAGAGAAACATGGTACCACAGGGTTTCTTCCATATTGTGCAAGGCCTGGACTGATATTGCCATGGATCAGACTGTTCCCGTAACCGGCGCCAATTTCGCCCGTCATCGACATCTGTGGAATCACTCCAGTGGGGAGTCCTAACGTAGAATAGGGCGCTAAATACGCCTCAGGCATCAGTTAGTGATGAATAGTAATTGCCACTGACAAATCGTACTTAGGGGCGTGGCTTTTGTTAGACCGCGGCCAGAGACACAGTTCGGTGTTGTTTTGCCAGAGTTCGTCGGTGTTCCCGCTTTGTTGTTCATCGGAGTGATCGATTTGTCCGCCTTACAAAATGCGGCTAAATGCCAGAAAGGAAAAACGTGTTCACAACGGCTCACCTCTTTCTTGGCGCCAGGTGTATGGCCACTGCTGGTGGAGCTAGTCGTCGAATGCGGACTGTCTCCTCGGTCCGACTTCGGTTTATAATTAGAAGACACTTTATCATTGACAACGCCATTTTCTGGTAAAGCCTTTTCGTTGTTCACGGGTGAGACAGGGTCCTAAGCGCAAAACGTTAGGAGAAAATTTATCCTAAGCGTATAAAAATCAATAAAGAGCAATACTACTGGATGCATGTATATAGTATACGTCACATCCAAAAAATCCGTTCATCTCAAATGTCATTTAATTACAAGCTTAATTTAGTTCGTTCAGTGTTTATTTAACTAACTAATTAATTGCCGGTATCAACAGGC